CCTCCAAGACATCAACCCCGCCCAAACCGCCTCCAGCAGTTTGAAGGGGGTTGGGAGGCCCAACCAGATGCTTCGCCCAAGGCGAAGCCCGTATCCAGCTCTGTTATACCGTAGTAGCGATAGCCCCAAAAGCCGGAGAGAGTCGCGGGAGCGACGAGCCATGTCAAGCGAAGATGTTTCGGTCTCAGTGGCAAGTAGTGTGCCTCGCGATGAGGCGCAGTCATATGTTGGCGGCCGGCAGCTTGAGAACAAACGGCCGCGGACAAACGCTCACTACCTCTCGCCTTTGCCCAGCCTCCTTTGGAGACCAGCGTCCTTGGATAGCATCCAAACAATGCTCGAACAGCTCAGGAACCTCGGGTAGCCCTACGGTCCATCCGACAGTTGTCTTGAGGGCATCTTCGGCCGTCTTCACAGATGAAACACTATCGACGCGAGGAGTGCCCGCGCACAAAACGCACAAGGGGTCTTGCGCAGACGGTCCGCGTTGATCGTGTTTGTTATGCGCCTCCTCCTTGTTTTTCTGCATAAGGACGCGCGCGCGGATCCGCTCCCAAGAGCATCGTCAAGAACCCCGCACAGGGCGCACAGTGTCCTCCGCGCAAGGTGTCCACACAAGACTCGCGCGAACACTCCTGCACAACAGTAAACAAGCGATGAGTGATTTCCACACGCCCGGGTCTTTGGAGGACGTCCCAAACGATCCAGAAGGACCCGAACCCCAAGGCCCGCAAAAGATGCCATTCGAGGCCTCAAAAAGAAGCCCCAAAGGCTCCCAAGAGGCCCACGAGAAGAGCCCAATGAGGCAAGCTCGAACTGCATGAAGCCTCCACCCCCAAAAGGCCCCCGAGACAACCACCAGGCCCATAGGCCACCATAGAGGCCCCAAGAGTCCCACGAGAGGCCCGAGATTTATCCAATTGGCCTTCGAGTTGCCGCAAGAGGTGGAGGTCACGACCCAGGCCTGGTGGCCAGATGGGAGCGAGCGGCGACAACATGTTGAAACTGATTCTGATTCATGTTTGAACACGATTGCAAAATAGCAAAGTAGCGCTTCTGTTTCGAAGCGCGGCTTTTGAATGCATGGCACGCAAATCGGGCGCTCGTGTTGTAGGGAGGCGCCCCCGTTAGTGAACACCCGCATGAGATCACGAAATGGGGGTGTGGGGCGGACCGGCGTGTTGCAGCATCGTTAGCACAATTTGGGGTTTTGCTGATCCTTCTCCTCTTCTTCCTGCTGCCCCTCGTCCGCGTTTCTTCGCCAATCCAGACCAGAAAGCGAATGTCCAGACCTAACAAAACCCAGCATCAAACAAGACCATACCATACTTAACCCGAAGGATAAGGAGGATATGGGAAGATGACAAGGACGAGGAAAGGACATCATCTGCGCAAGGGTCGCAACATCACCCTGTTTATTCAGCTCATCCTTCGCCTCCTCATCATGTGCCCTTTTGCCACCTTTGATTGCCAGTGTGACACCCAAGTAGTATCATCATTCATAAAGCATCAAACGACAACCGTAAGGCACCAGGACAAAAGCTGGAACTCGCGATGACTAACGCATCACAGGGCACTGGGCACAGGGCACCAACCACAAGGCACCAGGGCGGAAACTAGAGTTCGCGACAGCTAGAACATCATTTTGCGGCACCCTTGGGCACCAGCCGTGGGGAATAAACTTCAGGGGGCCAAAGCGAACACTTTCTACGTCGCAGCGTGGCAAAGGCAGTCCTCTCGCGCGTCCAGGCAGCCTTCGGTTGCGAATTGACCCGCGTGCAACAGGAGGGGGGAAATCGAAGGGCGGACGGCCGCAGAGACAAGAGGAGGGAAAGGGGGCGCACTCAAGCGGCGAGGCCGCGAGGGGGGAGCGCGGGGCGGCCAAGCCACAGGACAGCCCCTGGCAGCGAACGCGGTGCGGCAACGCGGGCGCACCCAGGGGAGGAGCCGGCGGCTGCAGTGCCGGGCGGTGCCCAGCAAGTGGGAACTGCGGGAGCGGCGGGCCGCTAGGATGGCGGGCCGGGGGGCGTGGGCAGGGGGCCAGGTGGTGGCTGCGCGTGACAGCTGCGGTGGGCTCGGCGTGCACCCCTGCGCCGGTGCGGCGTGGCAGAGGCGAGGCGCGGCCGCGGCCCGGGGAAGGAGGGGCGGCGGGGCGGGGCGGAAGGGCCAGGCAAGGCCGAGTGGCCAGGGGGGGCGAAGAGCCAGCGAGCCGAGCCCAAGGCCGGCCCACGCATCACAGCCATGGGCGGGGCGGCAACCAGCGGAAGCAGGAGCTGGGCGAAGGCTCCCGGCATGCAGCTGGGGTGCACAAAGGGAGGGCGACGCAGCGGCGGCGCTTCCCCAGCTGGGGCAGCGCGAGCTGCCGAGCAGGGGCAAGTGTCCACCTGCCGGACCCAAGGCCGACGGGGCGGCGTGTGCGCCAAACGGGCCTGGGCCAGTGTGGCCCAAGGGAGAGCGTGCGTTGCGAGCCCCAGTGTCGGGCGGTGGGAGGGGGCGCACAGCCAGGGGCGGCCGAGACACCACACGCTGAAGCCAGAAACCAAGGCGAGCACGAGAAGCCTCAACAATTGAGCCACCATGAGGCATCGTAGTAGGGAAACAACAAGTGACATGGACATAAAAACTCGGAGGTCCGCGCGGATTTCTCGGATCGGCGCTGGACCCCCCTCCCTGGCGCGCGGAGCGCGCCAGGGGCGGCGCCGGAGGCGCCGCCGGGGGGCCCCAGCGCCGATCCGAGAAATCCGCGCGGACCTCCGAGATTTTATGTCTGTGCCACTTTTTGTTCCCCTACAAGTGAGCCACCATGAGGCATCTTAGGGTATCAGCCATACAGCACCGAGGCGAGACGAGGAATCACAACAACTGGAGCATTATATGGCCAACACAGCACGGGGCACTCTCGAGGTGCAGCATGGCGAACACGAGAAATCGCAGCAACTCGGGCGTCATAGGCCATAAGTGAAGGGGCCCCAGGACACACAAATAAATACACACAAATAAACAGATTCCCAATATTTTCTCATATTTCCGAGGTTTTCGTCTTCCTCCCCCACTTCCCATATTATTAAATCTTTTCCTGGGAATCGACGATGAATTGTGTCTGCGTGTATCTGCCTCTCCTGAAGCAGCTCGGGCGTCATAGACCAGAAGCCACTAGGTCGACCCATAGGACCACAGGCCGACAACGATAATTCGCAACAACTATGTCCAAACCCTTCATGTTCGGGTACAATCCGCTTGTTGCCAACACTGCTTATGAAATCGTTCGATACCTACACGACCACCCTGCGGGTGATATGGAGGTTTGGGGGGGCAGCAGTGGGCAACAGTGGCGACTGTTGTTCTGACGATGCCTGTGGTGCGCATATCGATGTGCATGTCGATTTGCTTTTCGATCTGCATGTCGACATATCGATGTGCATGTCGGTTTGCTTTTCGATCTGCATCTCGATGTGCATGTCGACATGCATTGGAAAGCTCGCCACAGGCGCCGATCTTCTAAATACGCAACCCACGGCGCCTTACGACTTGCATTTGGGTGTGCATGTCGATCTGCATTTCGATGTGCTTTTCGGTTTGCATGTCGGTTTGCATGTAGACTTGTATTGGATGGCTCGCCGCTGCCACGGCGGGACACCAGCGGGACACCAGCAGGACACTGCGGGGCACCGCTTGCCGAGTGGAGAGACTTTTGGTCCGGCCGCGGCCCGGCCACAGGAGTTCGGAACACCAGCGGGACACCGCGGGCCACTGGCCGCCAGAGGAGAATCATTTGGTCTGGCCGCGGCCCAGCCACAGGAGGAGTTCGGGACACCAGCGGGACACCAGCGGGACACCGCGGGCCACTGGCCGCCAGAGGAGAATCATTCAGTCTGGCCGCGGCCCAGCCACAGGAGGAGTTCGGGACACCAGCGGGACACCAGCGGGACACCGCGGGCCACTGGCCGCCAGAGGAGAATCATTCAGTCTGGCCGCGGCCCAGCCACAGGAGGAGTTCGGGACACCAGCGGGACACCAGCGGGACACCGCGGGCCACTGGCCGCCAGAGGAGAATCATTCAGTCTGGCCGCGGCCCAGCCACAGGAGGAGTTCGGGACACCAGCGGGACACCAGCGGGACACCGCGGGCCACTGGCCGCCAGAGGAGAATCATTTGTCTGGCCGCGGCCCAGCCAGGAGAATTCCCTGTCGCCCGCCCACGCAGCTTCGCCTCGCCCGCACGCGCGCACGCACGGCACGCACGACACGAACCCGAAACCGAAATCGACTTCCCGGTAGGAGGGGTCTCCAATTCACGTCGGACTCACCCCCCAACCTCCGATCTTGGCTGACTTCTCCCTCCTCATCCTTGATGCCAGAGTGGGGTCCTCACGCTGAGGGACAGTAACAACGAACAAGATCCCGATACCACCCCATGGGGTCCCCAAGATGCCACCCGGGGGAGCGGGGGGAAGGAGGCCCCCTCCCCCTCCTCCTCCTCCTCCTCCTCCTCCTCGTCCTCCTCCCTCCTCCTCCTCCTCCTCCGCCTCCTCCTCCTCCTCCTCCCTCCTCCCTCGCCTCCTCCTCCTCCTCCACCTCCTCCTCCTCCTCCTCCTCCTCCTCTCCTCCTCCTCCTCCCCTCCTCCTCCCCCCCCGCCCCCTCCCCCTCCCCCCTCCTCCACGCCTCCTCTTCCTCCTGCTTCGCCTCCTCCTCCTCCTCGTCGTCTTCCTCCTCCGCCACGTCTTCCTGTACCTCCGACCTCTTATCACGCATCCCGTCACCCTCGAGGGCCGAGGCATCCAGGGTCGGCGGCACTGGCCGTAAGTCCTTAGCAATATATAACTAGTTTGCGGGGTGAGGGGGGGAAGACAGGCCCCCGAGAGGCAGGCAGCCGGGGCGCGACCTCCAAAGAACTCAGGGGCCAGTGCGCGGGCCGGGCGCCCACGCACTGGGCCCCCTGACGCACGCGGGCACCTCGGGGCGTCCTCTCACCCTGCGCACGTCGAACACAAACTGGGAGGCTAAAGGCCGATCTTGCCCAACAAAGCCGCGACGTCTGGCTCCGGGTCGGTCTTGGGGACGCTGGCGAGCTCTGGGGCCAGCAGCTTACGAACCTGAGTGATGTTTTTCTTCTCCACTGCCTCGACGAGCTCATCCCCGTCGTCCACGCGCCCTACGGCCTGCTGCAGCACCGCCCACACCGCGTCCGTGCTCCACAAGGGGATCTTGCCTGGAAAGGATGTGCAAAATGCTGCCCCCCAGCGTTCGATGTTCTCCTCCCCCCCAAAAAAACAACTGGCCGCTCACAGTAAGCACTCCGTGTTTAGGGGCCGGGTACAGCTTAGATACGCTCCATGGAACATCCGAAATGTCTGCGAATCTGCGGCATTCCAGGCGCACGTGGGGTATCCGCAGCGCTCCCACAGCCCTGCCTGTCTCCCCGAATCTCTCCTGGAATGCCCACCTGTCTTTCACACGCAAGGTCCTTGGCCTCCCACGTTCGGCTGACAGCATACACAGGGGGAGCACGAGGAGGAGAGAGGCTGGGTGTTGCGACCCCCGCTGGCCTAGAGCGGTGACGCAAGATGCGGCCGCTTGGCGATGTTGACCAAGAACGGACTGTGAAATTGACCGGTTCATCAGGGCGCGGGGGTAGTGCTGGTTCAGACCTTGGGCGCGGCCGAATGGCAAAATAACCAAGTGGAGCTCCAATATCGATAACGGTTTTTCGTCGGGCGATCCGATCCCAGGACAAGGTGTGCATGCGCTGGAAGACGGATTCGTGTGACAAGACGGTGCGATCGTATGCACACGATTCGTTTACATACGGTGAATGCGTATCTCCAGTGTGTGCAGTTCCACGTGTAGCAGCCATACGCATTACTTGTGCGGGTGCGTAGCGAAACGAAGTACGATGTGTACGCGCAATGTTTGTACGAAAGCTGCGCCTGCTGCTGGTACATTCCATGTATGCGGTTTGCGCCCCGTGCTTGTAATGCACAGACAAGTGAATACGCATGCATGCTCGTGGGACTGGCCAATGATGCATGCTATTGGTGCATTATTGGAGTAGGCCCTACTCTTGTGGTTGGTGTACAATCTGGTGTATGGTATAAACGCAAGTATGTGGCGTATGCGGTTCGCACACACGTGTAATGCTGTTATTGATATATTGGCATGCTAAACGCATGTGTGCGTCATTGGCGCAGGTCCTTGGTGAGCGCTCTTGGTGTAGATTATGTGCCCACGTCCTTGTTTATGGTTATGCGTGGTTTCTGCCCGTGCGAATTATGTTTGACGTGTTCTCCTGAAATACAATATTGTTTTATTCCTGCCCACTTAACTGTAGGTAGGGGCATTGCGTGGTGTTGTTGGAGAGCGCTGGCATCAAATCGTTTTTCCCCCTAGCCGCCAAGTGCTGAAGTCCGTGGTTGTCCCGCGTTTGTCCCGGCGGTTATCCCGCAAATGTCTTGGGACGGCATCATGGTTTTGCAGCGTTTGCTCCGTGGCTGTCCCGTGATTGTCTCGTGGGTGTTCCGTCGTTGCCCTATGGTTGTCCCTTCGTTTTCCCGTGGTTGCCCCGCGGTTGTCCCGTGGTTTTCCCCTGGCTGCGGCGGGTAATCTCGTAATTGTTCCAATGGTCGCCCAATGGTTGTCATGTAATTGCCCCATGCTTGTTCCAAGGTTGTTCCGTGGTTGTGTTGTGCTTGTTTCGTGGTTGCCTTGCGGTTGTCCCGCCTTTCCCCCGCGGCTGTCGTTGTTTTGAAATTGTCCTGCGAATGTCCCCGCGACTGTCCCCGCGGTTGTTCCGCAAGTGCCCCGTAGTTGCCGGGCTGCCCCGTGTTATGTGATCTTGTTCGCTGGTTGTTCCGATGGCTGCTCGGACTATTGCTCCGACGGTTGTCCGATTTTTTCCCGATAGATCGATGATTCGATATCGAAATCGCTAGAGCAACCGACCCTCGCTTGCCGCATGGCCCCCCGCTCCCTCCCCCCTCTCCGGAGGCCCAGAATCACGTTGGAGGGGTGGGGCTGGGGGGGGACGAGCACACCAACGCAACTGCGGGGCATTCGAAGCCAACGAGTCTACCACCCTTGGTCAACCAAGATCTTACGGTTGCCGCGATCATTACTATTACTATTACTATTCTGGTCGTCATTATTCGTAATCGTATTGTTATGATGGTTATGACTCGTCAACGCTGGTAGGAGCAGCGCACAAGCAACTGTCTTACGCGCGCGCATACTAGCAACCCTCCGCTACGACATTGCCTGCCCAGAAAGCCGGCAAGACCTGCACCGGCGCAGCAGGCGGGACGAGGGTGGCAGAGTACGTGCACCACGGGCACCTGGGAACACAACCCCCCGCTCTTGCTGCCAGTCGAAAGGCCTCTCGTCCGCCGACCGATCCAACCTCGCCCATGCTGGCAAGGGACACGTCTGGGCACAGATGAAGCCTGGCCAGTGCGGTTGCAACAACGATGTCGAAGCCCCACGAAGTCAAGCACGCACCCACGCGCAAGGGCTCCACACTGTAGAAATATGCCTTGATGTCCCTGAGATCACTGTGTGCTTGGTGGACAAGACCGCAGCAGCCTCCGTGGCAAGATGCAGCGGGAACACCACGTCGAGACACTCAAGACGGTCCAAGAGAGCCCCAAAGACGCCCCAAGAGGGCCCTAAGAGAACCCCCAAGAAGAACTAAAAACCAAACATTCGACCTCCCTGTGGTTTTTGCATGTATGTCGTGTTCCCGCATTCTCGGGCGTCCGCAAGCCCCAGGCGGCCCTTGAGCCACCCCACACGGGCCGCTGACGGTCCAAATAGCCCCTGAAGAGGGCCCAGATACGGCCCAAGGGGGCCCCGAGACGACCCAAGAGACACACCCCAAGACTTCCAAAAAACGGCACCACGAGAGACACGAACCCCGAGGGGGGCCCCGGCGAGGCCCAAGAAGGGGAACCCGCAGGGGTCCTAAAATCCCCCCCCCGTAAGATGGCCCCCGAGAGCGCCCCCAAGGGGCCCGCAAGACGCCCCTGGAAGGCTTCAGAACCCCCGCGGACCGTGAAAAGGCTCCCGCGAGGCCGCCCAACCCCGAGACCTGCAAGAGGCCTCCAGGAAGCACCGCAACCGAAGCGAAAGAAGAGGAGGACAAACCAGCAACAGCAACGCGCAGGGAACACGACGGGAAGCGGCAGATAGCACATACGACACCAGAAACCGCACATCTCCTCCTCTGGGGATCGGGAGACAGGCGTAAGAGGAGGAGGAGGAGGAGGAGGAGGAGAAGGAGGAGGAGGAGGAGCCTCTTGAATCCACGTCCGGACCGCAGCGAAGCGTCTCGGCAGTCCGACAGGACGGGTGCGTGACGCAAGGGCCACGTCAGGAAACGTCCGGGAAGGCGAAGTGCACAATATGGATGGCATTCTTATGCATTGCAAAATACCCTCCTCTAAATCCCCTCCCCAGGCCTGCGCCGAGGTGCCGACCCGTTTCGAATCATCTTACATATTCCTGCTAAAACGGACGGAAGAAACATATCATGGCTTCTCGTGCCCCCTATCGGAGTCCACAGGGGAGTCCAAGCGGTACAACTTGCCTTCAAAACTACCCAAGACAGTTTCAAGAAAATACCAGGTGGCCCCAAGAGAGCCCAGCCCCAAGAGAGCCCAGGAAGCCCCAAAGACGGCCGCAGAGGGCCCCAAGGAGGCGCGCAAGAGCGCCCCTAGAAACCGAGAACACTGAATTATAATAGTTGTTGCCAAATGTTAGCGTTTCCTTCCCCACATGTTTCGTGGGGTTCTGGTTTTCCCATCCACGCCGCACCCGCGCCTCCTCACCTCCCCCTCTCCGTCTCCTTCTCACTTGCACTAGCGCTGAAAGTCCGAATACACACAGCACACATACGCACCACACGCAGGCAGGAGAAGGATGATGCACGCACGCACTGCGAAGCGTGGCGTGGTGTGACATGCGCGACAGGCGTGCGACTGCACACTCACACAAAGACACACACACACAACACACATACACTCCACACGGTGCGCAGGGGGTGGTCCCTGAGCGCGGCGCGCCTATGCGGGCCAGGCGTGGCACGTTCGCGACACCAGAAGGGGTGCGCAGGGGGTGCTCCCTGTGCGCGGCGTCTATGCGGGCCATGACGCAGGGCACGGCAGGCGAGACACTTTCGCGACACCAGAAGGGGTGCGCAAGGGGTGGTCCCTGAGCGCGGCGTCCATGCGGGCCATGGCGCAGGACATGGGAAGCGTGGCGCTTTCTCGACACCAGACGGGGTGCGCGGTGTGTGGTCCCTGAGTGCGCCTCTATGCGGGCCGTTGCGCGGGACATGGCCCGCGCGGCACTGCCTCCACGGCAGGACAGTAAACACTCTGGCTCGAATTGAACGCACAATGCGTCTTGGCTGCTGCGCCGCGCCGCCGGGGTCTCTGCGTTAGTGCGGCGGAGATTCCCGTTCAACGGGATGCCTCCCAAATGTGCTAGCCCCGGGCTGCCGCCTGGGCGCTTGCAGCTGACACTTGCATGGTCAAGGACGGCTTCGAGATCAGTCTGGCTTGCGTGCGTCTGGCCCGAATGGGTGGCCAAGGGGACGCTCTGGTTAAAAACGCATTCAAAGGTCACCGACGCCAGCTGACATATTAGTTGCCTGATGCGCTTCTTATCCGGCACGATGAGCCGAGCAAAGAAGCGAACGACGATGCAAGGACGAAGCGCTCCGTAATGCACTTGCAAAACCGTGCCTCGGGCGGGCTGCCCCCAGAAACACCCCTTCGGATGTGTCTGGGGAGGTAGCGACAGTAAACATCCCGACGCCAGCGATGGCTCGGCGAATCGATGATGCCAGCAGCGCAGGCGCTGACACGCATGCCCCCTAGAGCGATTGCGAAGCGGGTTTGATTCGCACTGACTTCCACATTTGGGCCCCCTGACTAACCGCGATGTGGCAGATCGTCTTGCATTAGGAAACGGCACTCGGTGATGATCCCGAAGATTCAATTAATGGTGCGTCGGATGACTAATAGGGAAACACTCGCGACGAGGGTTCAGAGCGCAGGATTGCGCATAAATGGCCATGATCAGCAAACAAATAAGACTTTATTCTTTTTCTGGGCCTACGCGGGCTCTCGAAGGCCCAAGCAGCCCACAAAACGGCGCCAAGACAGCCCAGGAGGCCTCCCAGAGGGCCCCCAGACGGCCCAAAAGGGCCCCAATATGTCCCCACGAAGCCCCCAAGACGGTCCAGGAGGCCCCCGAGATGGCCCAAGAGGGCCCGACGACAAGCCCAAACTCGGCCCCGGGGGTCACCCAAAACGGCCTCCGAAGGGGCCCGGACGGCCCCAGACAAGTCGAAAACGGCCCCAGGCGCCCGTCAGACGCCCCAAAAAGCCCCCAACCCCCGACGATGGCCCGATATGCCCCCAACGGGCCTCCGAGAGGGCTCCGAACATCTCCCGCAAGACCCTCTTATGCCCATGCCCTGCACGTTCTGGTCGCCGGGCTCTAATGCGCTCCACTGAGGCGCCCATCGGGCCCCAGGGCGGCCCAGCACGGCCCGAGTGACCCGTCGAGGCCCCGCGAGGCTATCACAGGCTCTCCTACGCCTCCAAAGAGCCCACCAATCCAGGGGCCTCCGAGGCGACGCGCAGAAAACCATGGGGACAAGGCGGGCGCAAAGAACTACTGCGGGCGAGCGGCCAGAAGTCGGGCGTGGATCTGCTTTTTACTCGAGGGGGCAGACAGGTGGGGTTCTGGGCCAGGTGGGGCTGGCCGAGACAATTGGCCGTGATCTAAAGTGCGCAAGGCCTGCTCGCTGCTGGGCCTCTCCCCAACCTTCAAGCCGAACGCTGCGGCGCGTGCCCGCTCCGTGCTGGGCCTCCCCGCTGCGAACTCCAGCGCCTCCTCCACCGCCGACGACGACCCCGCCGGGCGCGCCCTTGAGCGCCCCTGCGGCCACCACTTCAACTGCCCAACACCTGGCTGCGGTTGGAAGGCCACCAACGCTACAGCATCTGGCAGGTACGTTGAGGCTGTCCGTCATTGGCGTCAGTGCCGTGGCGAACCCCCGCCTAAGCCTGCCGGCTACCAGATCCTCAGCAATGCCAATCGGCACTGCGCTCCTCGTGAAGAACGGGGCCGTCAGTGGGCAACCGAATTCCAGGAAAGCGCGACTCTCGCGCAGCTGCTTTCCGCGACGGCTTCTGCGCCCTCGACTTCTTCGAGGTCCGCGAGGCCGCTTTGGGCGCGGAGGAACGCTTCCGCTGCGCCCGCTGTGGGAACTACAAGCGACTGGAAGACGCCATGATGGTCTCGCCGCGCGCCTCTCGCACGACCGCCGTCTCCGCCAAGCGCCTGTGGATGATCGCCCAGGGGCCGCGGAAGGGGCGCGCGCGCATGGGCGCTTCGCACACGCGCTAGCACGAGAGCTCGCAGGAAGTTGTGCGACACCCCCGAGCAGCGCGCAGCCTACAACGCCACGTACGCCACCCTCAACAGGGGGCACAAGAAGAAGGCTGGGGTAAACGAGCAGATGAATCAGCAATCAAAGACCCAGAAGAGGAAGAAGGCCGCCAGGGTCAAGAAGCTGAACGGCGCCGACTACCAGGTCGACAGGGAGAGACCCGCGGCCGCCGCTCGGGCCCGCCGCCGTCGCAAGCGCGAAAGCGCCGATGAGTTATTACCTGCTGCGCGCCAGCTTCACCACGTCCGAATGCCTTCAAAAAGTGCCCTCTCAAGCTCAGTCCGTGGCCTTCGTCGCGATCATCGCCGCGACCTAATGCCTTCAACTAGTGTCCTCTCAAGCTCAGTCCGCGGCCTTCGTCGTGATCATCATCGAGGCCTACTACCTTCAAAACGTGTCCGCTCAAGCTCAGACCGTGGCCGCCGTCGCGATGTGTCGCAGCCGGCTGGCGTTGACCTTCAGCCCCCTGATGCTGATCCCCTCCGCGGCGGAGATCCTCTACCTGCAGACGCCTGATGGGTGGGCTGCGTGAATGTCACCGCCCTCGCCTACGCTCGAGCCCAAGCGATTTCTCGTCATGCTGACTCTTCTGGGTTAGTGTTTATGGCATGGCAAGATACTCGCTTGTGTGCCGAACGCCCGCGCTGGTTGATCCAGACGGCGTCTAGTTTCGGCCAGGGAGTTGCCTGCAGTTGCCCTCCCCCGCCTTCGGCTGACGGGCGCCACAAGCACACCAACGGCGGCGCCGCCGCTTTTTGGGGGAGCAGCCTGGGCCAGGTCAAAATCATTCGCCCTTCTCGTTTTACAAACCGCGCTGCGGCAGTCGAGACAGACCCCAGTACAGTTATTTCAGAGCGCGGGCCAGCTCAAGGCGATGATCCTTGGATGACATCTTTCCCGGATTGGAGCGCCACTCTGGGAGGTGCTGTCGCGATCATCGATGATTTGAACTGGAAGCCCCGCAACGCGCACTTCCTCGGCCCCAACCGGGCGAAGGATGAGGCGAGCCTCCCCGCGACGACCGCGGGTGCCAGCCCATTTCGAGCCCTCCTCCTGTCGGACCGAGAAGATGCCAGAGCTTCACTTCGTCAAGTTTCTCTCGTGGGAGGCATTGCGCATCGTGGCTTGCGCAGCTACTCGCCGCCGCCACTTAAGCGACCGCTTCGACCGCTCGCGCGTTTGAAGCACGCAGCGCCGTGCGTCGCCGACCGCATTTCCTTCGCCAACGACGCCGAGGCCGACGAGCTCAAGTGCACCCTCGACCCCTCCCCCGCCGTGGCGAAGACGACAGACACCACCGTGAAGCAGTGGAACGCTTGGCACCAGCGCGCTGAAGCCGGTTTCCAGCTTGCTGCCCCTAAGCACTGGGTTCGACAGCAGCGAGCCCCCGAACGAGCCATAAGATCAGCGCCCTCCTCGAGACCGACTGCTCCACCGCCGCGCCACCGGCTCGAAGGGTCCATCGCTCTTCGGCGACTTAGGCGCCCAGACCGCAATTGTGCGGACCGGGCCGCCTACCGTGTCCACGCGCATGAGCGCGTCGACTCCGGGCGCTGATTCGAAGCTTTCGCCCAGCCGCGCATGGGCGGCCTCGCGAAGCCCATCGACGGCCGGCCCTGCCGCGGCCAGGTCCTCGAGGCGCTGGGCGCGGCCATCGGCGCCCAGCAGTGCAAGACTGGGGAGGGGGGGCGACGCCGCTGGGCGGCCCAGTTCTCGGCTTGGTCCCGCGACATCTGGCGACCAGCTTCGCCGACTTTCAAGCGGCCAGCGCCTGCCGCTGGATTCGACGCGCAGGGCGTGAGATCGGGGGGCGAGCAACGTGCAAACCCCCGATGCGCGCGTAACCTGGGGTGAAGGTTCCTGGGGGAACCTAGATGTGCAACCCCGGGTGAACCCCTTGAAAAATTCTACGTGCAACCATGGGTGAATGTTCCTTCCTACGTCGAACAACAACGAGCGAAATATGTGCAACCACGCACGTTTTTGGCTCTCTGATGAGAGCTGAATGCGAGCCAGCGTGGCGGCAACCAGCTTACGACCCCGAGCCGACGGTGACCAGCTGGAGGCGATGGTGCGAAGGCGTTGACTTCCCGCGTTCCGAGAAGTCGGCGGGCTGGCTCCCGTCGCCGCAGTGTTTCCCGGCGGCCGCGAAGTCCACCCACGGCGCCGCTGGCTTTGACGGCCGGAGCGCAGTGGAGCTCAAGTTGATGCGTGACATCGCGCCCTTCCTGCTGGAGGAGCTCTACGCGGCGCGGGTCGCCGCGACCCAGTATGCCATCATATGCCATGGAGATCTTCCTCGCGAGGTCCTGCTTGCAATATTCCCGTGGAGAGCGGTGGGGATCCCCATGGAAGACGAGAACGAGAGCAGGCCTATCTCGGTTGCGCCCTGCCTCCTTCGAGCTTCGTCGACGGCGATGGCGACCTCCTTGCCGCCGCCGACGGCCAACCAATACGCCTGCAAACGTCGCGTGGCAATAGTCCACGCTGTGTCTGCCCGGCTAGCCGAAGAGGCCACCTGCGGCCTCGAGCTGGACCTGAGCAAGGCCTACGACACCGTCGGCCACGAGCTGGCCGCCGCCGCGCTGGAGGCTCAGGGCGCCCCAGCCTCAGTTATCAACGTCTGCCTCTGCGCCTGGCGAGGCCCTCGGACCTGCTCCGTCGCCGCAGAGACGACATGGCCCCTCTGGGCCACGCGCGGGCTGCCGCGGGGCGATAGCATCGCCCCTGGCGCCATGGTCGCCACCCTCGCCTCATTGGACGCGCGCGCCTGCAGCCGACCGGGCTCTCATGGGCGACCGCTCCATCGCAGCCCGCTCCGAGCTGGACTCAGAGATCGGCCTCGCTCGCCGCCGAGCGCCGGCGCCGGTCCGCGGACTCCGAGGACGTGGACAACATCGAGCACGTGGGTTTACTGCGCGCCCACGCCTGCACACCCCCTGTGCGGGGGCTGGGCCAAGCTGGAGCGGGACATTCGACTCCTGAAAAGTGCCCCTGGTTCCAAACATGTTCGCGAGGGCCTAGGGGTGGCCTGCGCGAGGCCCATCGGGTAATGCGCCGCCCCCTTCGCTGAGCCTGCGCCACCCCTCTTCTGCGGGCAACTGGCGTGGACGATTCGGAGGGCCCAATGTAACTGGTGGTGCGCTGGCAGATGGCGGCGCCGTCGCGTCGGACTTCGCCCTCGCTTCTCGCCCGCCGCCCAGTCCATGAAGACCGTGCCCTTGGAATCCTCGAAGCCGAGTGCCCACCTCGCGAACGCGCCGAAGGCTCACTTCCGCGAGTTGGGCCTACAGTTTCTGGCCCATCACCCCCAGTGGGGCATCCAGGTTGCCGCGGCTCTTGATGATGACCCCCGTGTTCTACGCGCAGCGGCCTGAGTTCGGGGCCGATCAATGAAGTTCTGGCCGACGGATGGCGCTGCTCAACATGCCGCCCGCTTGGCGGCGCGGATTCGATGCCTTCAGAACGCGCATGCGACCCGACAGGACTCCGAAGGCCATGGCGGCATCGACGTCGAGGTCCCCGGCCAGCGCGACTGGAAGCCCCTCGGAGCGAGCCTCAGCGTGGAGGAGCGGGGGATTCTCAACACCTTTACGTCAGGAGCGCCCCAGTCTCGGGCGCGTACCAGCGCCCTGTGCGAATGCTCGCGAACTTGCCAGCACTGCGGACATCCGTGGCCATCGGTGCGTCACCTTTGGCAAGAGTGCCCCCCGCTACAGCGACTCCAGGGCCCAGCTCGTGCAGCTGCACCACCTGGAGTCCAGCTTCTGGGGCCGCCAGCCCCGCGTCACCTCGAAGAGCGGCTGGGTCACGCTTTCGGCCCCCCCATCTTTGGCGAGGCGGACGCCGATGCAGATTGCCGCGGTCAGGCTCGGCATCCACATATACAACGCCAACTTTGAGCCTGGCCGTCGGCGTCAAGCTTGACATGGGCGAGTACGGGTTCTGATCCTTGTGCGGTTGTTCCCTTCCCCTAACCAGTCTTTTGCCTGGATTTTCGTCACCCCTGCGAGATGTTCCGACGATGCCTCATGGTCAGTGGGCTCCGCAGATGACACGGGTTAGAAGGGATAATGCCGTCAAGCATACACGGAAGTAAAACTGAAGGGAGGAGGGCGGCCCGCCGGCAGACGCACGCGCGCGCGCCGCAGGCTCGCTCCTTCTTTCCGTTTCCCTAGAGCCACAGCAAAAAACTGCGGGAGCAGAAGAAGTCAGTGCAGCAGGCGGACAGCGCGTGCAAGGAGAAAGAGAGAGAGAGAGAGAGAGAGAGAGAGAGAGAGAGAGAGAGAGAGAGAGAGCAGGCAGGGCAAAAGTATGGTGGTGCTGAAGGGGTGCGTTGACTTAGCCCCCATGTGAAATGCTCGCTGTCGCGAGCCTGAGCATCCTGAACTACAATGTGCAATTCATTATCCACCCGAACACTCGCGTCGCGTACGTCCAGGGCACTCCCTGGGCTGCTGGGGGCCCTCGCGGGGCTCTTCTGAAGGGGCGTTGGGGCCCCGTCGTGGCTCTCTGGACGAATATTCGGCCCCCGCTGGGGCCCTCACAGGGCTCTCCTGGGGCCCCACAAACGGTCTTGGAGGGGTTCTTGGACCCATCTGGGACACACTGCGCACCGATCCCCGCGGGGCCGTCGGGGCCTGGAGACTGGCCCTACGGCAACGCGCGCGACGGATCCCCCCCCGACGGCTGAATTTCGTTTTCGACGGTCGCAACGCGTTCTTGCAGGTAGAATCTGAGATCTCGATGGGTCGGTGGGCGTGGCTTCCATCATGTTTCCCCATACGCAGAGGGGCCTTGCAACAACGCCGTTGTTGTAAGGCGAAACGGAGATCCTGACGGTTCGCCCCGGGGCGCCCGTCGGAAACGCGCCCCGCGGAACCCCCAAGGAGGCTCCGCCGGACCCTGCGGGGGCCCCTGCGGGGGCCCCGGGCCGCCGCCCCCGACCGCCCGCAACAACAGTCGCCCGCCTTCGGTGGCGCAGGAAAAAGAATCGAAACCAAACATCCCCTCAAGGAGGCCCGCAGGACTCATGCAGTCGCCCAAAGAGCACGGATGAACTTGTCATCGTTTTTTTTGCGACGCGCGCTGCACCGCTGCTGCACTCTGCGCAAGGCCAGTGGGGGATATCTGCTTGACCGGCCAAGATGCAGCGCGCGACATGCACCCTCCAAAACAATCTTCTTGCCCCTGGGATCTGCGCTACCACCCGGCCTTGGATGAGACCCGGCTTGAACGAAGGAGTGCAAAAAAAAGGATCGCACAAAAAAACCGAAAGATTGCAATCCTTCGTTGCAATCCTTCGTTTGCAATCCTTGGTTTTTTTGCAATCCTTCGTTGCAATCCTTCCTTCGCGATTCACAACGCGCACTTCTTGCCTCGCTGGCGCGTGTTCGCGCAGGCTGAGCATGTCCACTCGGGCGCGGCGGGCGGCGTATCGTCGCGGCGCTCCGGCCGCGGCGTGCTTTTTCGCGCTCGCGGCAAGGGGAAGAGAGGCACGCGCCGCACGTGTACCTCGGCCCCTCCCAGTTCTTGGTGGTCCCCAAACGTGGTGGTGAGAACACCCGGTGGTGAGTTTTGGGCGATTTGGGTAATGGTTTTCGAGCGCTGGCTGGCCCAGGAAACGCAAAACCTCGTGGCGACCGCGTGTCCCCAAACCCGGTGGCGACCCAGAATTATTTTGAGGAATCGGGGCCACCACCGGGTGTCTCACCACCTGGTTTGGAGACCACCAAAGCTCGCAGCACGCCGACCAGCTTGGGCCGCGCCTGGCGACGCGGCGCCGCTGACCTCGCAGTGCGAGATCCGCGGGTACGCCGCGCATTTCCACGGAGGCATGTTGGCTGCAAGGCACTTCGTGTTCAGTGGCCGCGGGACTTCCTTGCCGACATCGCAATTCGGAACCTACATGCCTCGCGCTGGTAGTTCGTCTGGCCGTGGTTCAGAAATCTCTATGGTCTCGCCCCGCACTTCCCGCCCGGAGGACGCATGCGCAAGTTGAAACATGTCTTGCACACTGCGCTTCTTGGCCGCCACGCATGCATATTCAGCCTGCTCAGGTCGCCGACCCATTCGGGCAACTTCGCACAAACTTACAGAAACCAACGGAGAGTACATGATTTTGGCCTCTGGGGCCTCCTTGGCGTCAACGAGGGCCTCGCGACGGCTCAAGATGGCTTCGAGCCGGTCCAGGACGGCCCCAAGACGGCTCACGACTGCTGTAGAAGCTCAAAAAATGGCCCAACAGGGCCTCAAAAGGACACCCAAGAGCGCCCCCAGAGGCCAAAAACATCGATATCCCATTGGCTTTGTATTTTTCTGCGCTCCCGCCTTGTCGGATTCCCCGGGGCCTCCAAGACGGCCTTAAAAGGCCGGAGAGGCCCTCGAGAGAGCCTCTGGACGGCCCGATTGAACCCGAAGATAGCTCCAAGAGTCCGCCAAGACGGTCCAAGAGACTCCGAGGAAGGTCCAAGAGCATCTCCACAATGCCCCCAAGCGGCCCCAAATGGCCCCCAAGACGGCCTTGAGAGAGGCCGGACAGCGCAAGAATGCCCCCAAAAAACCCAACAGGCCTTCCAGAGCCCAAAGGGCCCCAAAAAGGACCCAGAGGCCCCCGAGAGGGCCCCTGAGGACCCCAAGAGCGCGTCCAGAGGCAAGACAACAAACATACTTTCCATTTGTTCTCGACATGTCCACTGGCATCGACTTTTTTCACCGCTCCGGATCCCACGACGGCCAATGCAAATCCCAAGATGGCCCCCATAGCGGCGACGCGCAGCCTCCCAAATGGCCCCACAGGGCCATAGGGCCCAAGTTCAGCCTTATGCTGCCTCTGACAGAGAGGTGTCTTTTCAGTAGGGGACAAACAAACCTACCCGCTTTTGACCACCTTCGGTTCCAAGAGATACCAAGCGATGCCAAACTACGGCCTCTACTGGTCAGGCCGCTTGACGAGGAGGCGCGTGGTATGACTTGTTTTTGCTTGGAAGCGAAAGCGGGGTAGGTAATTCATAGGGAAACAAAAAGTGACATAAACATAAAAACTCGGAGGTCCGCGCCAATTTCTAGGATCGGCGCTGGACCCCCCTCCCTGGCGCGCGGAGCGCGCCAGGGGCGCCGCCGGAGGCGCCGCCGGGGGGCCCCAGCGCCGATCCGAGAAATCCGCGCGGCCCCTCGAGTTCTTATGTTTGTGTCATTGTTCGTGTACTTAGGTCTTGCCTGGAAGCGAAAGCGGGGCAGGCAATTCACGCTCTGATTGAAGGGGCCAACAAACACACACACACACACACACACATAAATACACCCAAATAAACAACTTCCCAATTTTTTCATATCTTTTCTGAGTGTTTGTCTTCCCCCCCAATTCCCATATTTTTCCATATTTTCCTGGGGGTCGACGATTAATTGTGGCTGTGCGTTTCTCCCCTCCTGACTGATCCACTCCGCGCGCCTCTCGCCTTTGGCGTGCGCTCGCTCGCAGGGCGCGCTGCTCCGGTGGGGCGCGGCGCGCGCTGCGCAGCGCGCCCGCCCTGCGGCCGCAGAGCGTGCTCTGGCACACGAGGAGGCCTCCTGCCGCGGCCGCAGGTTTGGACGCCCGAGATGGGTACCGAAAGAATGGGTACAATGCCCAAAAACAAATGTTGTCCCAAATCAACAGCGGCCGCTGTTGGGCAGGCGGCCTCCTCTCGAATGAACACAGGCCGCGGCGGCGTGGACGGAGAGCCCTGTTCAAAATGAACCAGATCCGCTGTTGGGCATTGTACCCATTCTTTCAGTACCCATTTCGTGCGTGCAGAGCAGGGGCAGGACGTCTGCTCCTGCCGGCGGCGCTTTGCAGAGACCCCGAGAAGCATCCAGGGAGGACGAAGAACGACACAAACATAAAAACACTCGGAGGTCCGCGCGGATTTCTCGCATCGGCGCTGGGGCCCCCCGGCGGCCCCTCCGGCGCCGCCCCTGGCGCGCTCCGCGCGCCGGGGAGGGTCCAGCGCCGATCCGAGAAGTCCGCGCGGACCTTCAAGTTCTTATGTTTATGTCGTAGTTCGCTCCCCTAATCCAGGAGGACGCTGACCCACGTCAGCGTCGTCGTCGTCGCCGCCGCCACCGTTGTCGTCGCTCCCCTTCAGGGTGGGCAGCACCGGCCGTAAGGCCTTCGCAATGATAGCTGGTGCAGTAATAGCCGCCGTAGTAAAAGATGACAGCAGGGCTCCCAAATAGCTGCTGTAGTAGCCGTAGCGGTGGTCGTAGTGGTAGTACTGTAATTGCACGAACGATGAATAGCCGCGCAGGCTGAAAAAGTTCAAACACTGAACGGGAACCAGTAAGATGACGCAGTGAAGTTCTACAGCTATCTGATTGTTTGTTGCGCTGAGACTTGAACGAGCTACAAAAAAACATGAAACCTGATTCAAAACGACATGCCCTCGATTTGAAACAAGATCATAACAATGTAGCATCGCAATTGCGTTACGACGTAATCTAGCAGATAATCGCAGTCCACACCACTTACCAAGCCGTTGCACGTATACGTGGCGCAATGGCACCAGGCCGAATCACACCTGTACTATGCTGTCGTAGGTTGCTCCGCCTCATCGCTGGCCCCACCTCCATCTCCCCCCCGCCCTCATCCCCCCATTCTCCTCTTCACTTCTCACCTTCTGCCGCTGTTCCTCACGAACCTTGTCAAGTGCGGGCAGGGGAATGCAGCAGGTGGCCGTTGCCTCCGCTGCGGCCGCTAGGTCTCAGGCGCAGCGCCTGCTCGAGGGCGTGCAGAGCGTCCTCGTGCCGGCCGCGATTCGCCATGACCGCGCCCAGCATGTTCCACTGGCGCGAATCGCGCGCGCAAGGCGGGAGAGGCTGGAGAGGTGGAGGGGTGGCAGACTCTGACCCGCTGATCGGAGCTCTGCGGAAGAAGGAAGCGAGACGCAGGGTTCCAGACTGGTGCCTCCCAACCAGTTACAAGGCAGCTCGCCGGTCCTACCGCCAGCTCGAACAGCAAGCACACATCGGGCGTAACCCTAAAGAAATTGCCAGGAGATGCGCCGCCTATGGGGGTACGCCCTAGGTTGCGCCATCTTCGGGCAAAGGTTGCGCCACCCATGGGCTGCGCCATTGGTTGTGCGATTGGCTGCGCGATCGAAGGGCTGCGTCACTATCACCCAGAATCCGTGCAGGAAACGGGCGGCGCCGCCACTATCATATTTGAACTTCTGACAGGGGAACACCGCGGCTGCAACCCCGCGAAGGCGAGCCAAGCCAAGGGAGGAGATTACCCTGCCCGCTACCGAAGAGGCGCGGCGCCACGCCCCAGAACCGGAAACTGCGTTGCGCGCTCGATGTGGAGCGACCGATCCAAGAATGATCGCTGGCACCAGGCAAGCTGCCTGGCCCGCAGGAAGAGGTGGAGGAGGTGGAGGAGGAAAAGGAAAAGGAGGAGGAGGAGCAATAGGAGGAGGAGGAGGAGGAGCAAGAGGAGGAGGAGGAGCAGGAGGAGGAGGAGGAGCAGGATGAGGAGGAGGAGCAGAAGGAGGAGGAGGAGGAGGAGGAGGGCGGCGCCCGAGTGCGCATGGGCCCACCAGGTGCCAGGCGTACTGGCAGAGGGCCGCTGCGAACGCGGGGGCGCACGGAGGGCGGCAGGAGGGCGGGAACATACACGTGCTCCGAGCCCCCCGCCAAGGAAGCGGAGGAGGGCGTGCTCACAACGATCGCCCCTTCGCTCCCCACCGCGCCGCCCCCGAACGAACCAGCCTCGAACGTATCCCTGTCCCTAAAATGGGCGAGCAAAAAGCGAGGACAATCTCAGGGACATGCCCCCTCAGGAACTGAGGGAATCCTCAAGGTCGGCGTCGAGGTGAGGTGATGTCAAACATAGGGATACGGCTATGGTTCAAACTGGTAACGAACCGCGCGGTGAATCCTTGGGGGGCGGAAAGATACGGATACGTGTTGTCCCCGGACCTCTCTTGGGGTGCGTTCTGACCAGAATTTCGAGGCGAATCCAGCGGTGACAACGAGAATTCCCCAGGAGGACCAGGAAAGGCCGAAAACGACGGGGGACGACACGTATCCGTATCTTTTTCTCCCCCGAAATCCCATGCTGCCCTCGCTCGCAGCAGCAGCATCGACATGATCCCACCCTTCCCTTCCAAACGGCGCTGCTGTCAGCCAGGACGGGTGCAGGAAGGGGAGGAGGAGGAGGAGGAGGAGGAGGAGGAGGAGGAGGAGGAGGAGGAGGAGGAGGAGGAGAGAGGAGGAGTCCAGGAGGAGAGAGGAGGAGGAGGGAGGAGGAGGAGGAGGAGGAGGAGGAGGAGGAGGGAGGAGGAGGAGGAGGAGGAGGAGGAGGAGGAAGGAGGGAGGAGGAGGAGGAGGAGGAGGAGGAGGAGGAGGGAGGAGGAGGAGGAGGGCGGCGACGCTCTGACTGCCATCTCACATCGTCGTTGCCGTCGTCGTCCTCGTCCTCGTCCTCGCCAACGGCGAGAGCACGACTTTCTCCCACCTGATATCGTTCAAAAAATCCGCGATGAGCCTTCTCCTCCTGCTCCTCCGCTTCTGCCTGCCGTCCCTCCTCCTCCATCTGCTTCTCCTTCTCCTCATCCTGAGGGGGAGGGGGGTCCCCTCGCCGCAGTCCCCGCAGGGGCGAGCAAACCGAGCGGAAAAAGGCCCCCAACGCTGGAAGAATTCGGCGGCGGCCGCCCCTAGCAAAAAATCCTCGCCACTGCTGCTGGCAACGGGAACGTGGGGTGCTCCAAGAATGCTGCTCGCGGCGGCTATCCATAACCCTGTGGGAGCTGCACGCAGCACGCCTCGAGGAAGGAGATGAGGGGAGGGGGAGGAGAGGAGGAAGGGACAAGGAGGGGGACGAGAGGGGGAGGAGAGGAGGAGAGGAGGAAGGGAGGGAGGGGGTGGAGGAAGGAGGAAGGAGGAAGGAGGGGGAGGGCGAGGAGGAAGAGGAGGGGGAGGACAGCCAGATCAGCTGAAAGGGGAGGAAGGTGGCGACGGCGCAGGGGAGGGCGGCAGGGAGGGCGAGGATGAGGGGAGGGACAGGGAAAGGGGACGAGGGCGAGGAGGGAGGGGAAGGGCTTAGTCGGCTCTGGAAACGACAGGGCGTTTTTTTTGTTACCGGTTCCGTTTTGCCGTTTTTGTTTGCCGGTTCCGACGCCGTTTTTGTTACCGGTTCCGTTTTGCCGTTGTTTGACCGGCTCCGGCTCCAGTTCCCATCCTGGAGCCGTTTCTTTGCCGTTTCCGGTCGCCGTTGTTTTACCGGTTCCGTCGCCGTTTTTTGACCCGTTCCGGCTCCAAATTCCAATCCTGGAGCCGTTCCTTTGCCGTGATTCCGGTCGCCGTTTTTTTTTGCCGCTTCCATGTTTCGAGGGGCACGTTTGTTTTGGAAACGGTGAAGAAAAGGCGGCCCTGCCGCTTCCGGGGCCCACACAGGGCAGGGGGCGCAAGCTATAGGTGCACTCGCGTCCTGTCTGACGTCCTGCCCCATTCCTCCCATCCCTTACGATTTGGCGTAGAAATCTCCGCTCTGTTCGCACGGCCGGGTGTCTTAGCATGGTATACACCTTTCGCAGGGTATAGCAGTGCGTGGCATAGCATGGTGGTGAAGACTGACGCGCAGCATGACATCACGTGGCGCGGCGACGCCCCAAAGTGGGGGGGCTTCCGCGGCCCCCCAAAAATCAACGAACCAACACCGAGCGTGTTATCACTTCCAGTGGTTGTTTTCGGGGTCCACTGTCTAAATTTTAGGGCCTATTTGAAGGGACCGAAAGCCATTAGACGAGCGCGCTCCACTACTCGCAAAGGAACGACTCGCAAATGGCCTGGATCCTCCGCGGGGGATCAACGATACATTATTTCAAATCAGGCATTTGTTTTTCGGAAGTCTGCGAGTAGGCACTTTGTGAGTAGTGGAATTCGCTCGGTGAACCATTCCGTCGCATGGCGGAAATAATGACTTCCGGGAGAGCGACTCGGAACGAGCGGAAACGCGGAAATGAGGCCAGCGCTGCAGAGGGAGCACGATTCGGAACGAGCGGTAGCCCGAAAAAGAGGCCAGCGCTTCAGCGAGAGCATCAGTTTTGAACAAAACCCAAGCGCGGAAGCGCGGAAATGAAGGCGCGTAGCCTGACGTAGCACGGCGTGGCGACGCCCCAGAGTGGGGGGAGCTTCTGCGGCCCAAGAAGCAAACGAATCGGCACCGAATGTGTAATCACTTCCGATGTTTTTTTTTCCGGTGAGCATGTTCTAAATTTTGGGGCCATTTGGAAAGACCGAAAACCGTGCCGTGGCATGGCGCTGGAGATCATAACGCCAGCGCTGCAGCGGGAGCACGATTCGGAACGAGCGGAAGCGCGGAAATGAGGCCAGCGCTGCAGAGGGAGCACGATTCGGAACGAGCGGTAGCCCGAAAATCAGGCCAGCGCTTCAACGAGAGCAGAATTTTTTTATAGTAAGCGAAAACCCAACTCCCCAGAATCCGGTGTAAAAAAACAGTACGCGGAGGGGACTGACCCCGGACGCCACTAGGGGAGAGAGGAGAGTAGTATCCATATTGTTCAATTGTGAAGGGGGGAGGGCAGGGAGAACGAGGAGAAGGTATGGGAAGAGGAGAAGGTGGAAGGGAGGAGGAGGGGGACCGACCGACCCACCGACTCGAACCCCCCTTCCGCCGTGTGAGGCTCCAGCCCAAGGGCAATAGAAAACAGACCGAGGACGAGGCTGATCGTACGCGGCCTGCCGAAAGCGCGCACATGCGATCTGAAAGGGAATCCTGGACAATTCTGCTAGACTGATCCCCGAACCAGACGCCAGAGCAAGGCGCCAGACTAAACGCCGGACGAATGCGTCAGACTAACGCGACGGACTAATCCCGCACTGATATTCTGGACTAGTCGGCAGAGGAGTGCCCAGACAAAAGGTGCCGGATTGGGCCCCGCCCTGGTGCCGGCAAATTGGTAGGGCTGCTGGACCCACAGGCTCGCCGGACTGGTCCCCAGAAGTGTTACATTGGGATTCTTCTCATAGCATGAGTAACGTTAATGCGGCAGCACGTGTGGAAGTTAGTGCGAAGCTTTTTCGGTGGCCTGAAGGGCGCCGATGCCGACGTCGCGAGGCGGCCGCCTCCGCCCGCGCGCGCGTGGCCGTCTGGGAGGCGTCCTCGCCTGAGGGCCGCGAAGGCATCTCAAACGGCTTGACCTTCTGAAGGAGCCAGAGGAGCTCAAAGAAACCCGTCGCAATCAGAGAAGCTTTGTAGCCGCCTGAAGTGGGCCCCTTCCAGGAAAATCCAAGGCGTCCCAAGGCGTCCCTGTATGGATCCTGTCCTGGTAGGCTCGACAGCTGCGCATAAAGCATCCTAATCCAGAAAGCTGCGCAGACTTCTCATATTCTCATGGCCCCCTGGTATGAAAAAAAACACATCTGAGACACCTTCCCTGGCATCCCAATCTGGAATGTCCTAGAGGACCCATGTGGCCTCCCGCCATGGAAAGATCTGGATCCTCATGCGAAGAAACATCCTCTGCGAAATTTTGGATGCTCCCAGAAGGAGTCCCACTCTACAGTGCTCTGAAATTGGGCACGCTCGTTCTGCATGCGGCATTCCTGCGCTTGCGCAACATCCGTCCAATCCACCTGTTGCGGCCTCACTCGGAAGTGCAAAACATAATATCTATCCGACGTGATTTCTCTGCCAACCTGAACAAAGAAACATGTGTTTGTTCATAGCTAGTGCCTGCTAGGCCTGACCGCCGCCGAGAAAAGCTGAGTAAGCTGGTCAACGGCACCCCCATATTCAGAGACGCCAACATCGTGGCATAGCG